AGTTGCCGCCATGTGATTGGCTGCTTAGAAATTAAGTGTTAACGAGCAGTTGGACAGGTGTACCTAATAAAGTGGCCGGTGAGTGTATATTTAAGTGAGAAGGTCCACCTCTAAACATTGGCTGTGCAGTCAGTTCTACATCTACCTCAGTCAGAAGTAGATGTTAGCATTTTTCAGGTACGTGGTACAAACTGCAGGTACAAGGATAATGAAAGCGAATATATTTTACTGGCAGTTTTCGACACTGTAAGTTATACTATGCGTTAATAAACAGTTTTAGGGGAGTGATCATAGACCTCTGCATGAGGAGCTGCTCAGATGTGTCAAGATGGTCTGCTCCTGCTGCTTGAGATGCGCTGCAGGACCATTTGATGCACCTTGATGTACGTCAACCATAGACTCTGTAAACTGGTTGCTTCTGCTGCTCAGTGCGTGTCCGGTGTGAACACAACATTACGCTTAGGGGAGTACACACTTTGGCTGCAAGCTATTAGAACATTGATGACTGGCTAATGAGTTATTATTAGGAGACATACGATTCACTGTTCATAGATCGTATGATAGTCATTTCAAAAAAGTTAAAACAAAATCCACTGGACTTTGTTTCCAAGTTTGAAGATGTTTCACTTCCCATCCAGGAAGCTTTTTCAGTTAAAAATGTTTGGTTAGAGTTTCAAGCTTTATAGAGTAGCCCAACAAAGCCTTGTTAGGTCTTAGAAAACATGCAAATTGAACTGAATGAACAGGTCCACCCCTTAGTAATGGATAATCATTGAGTTCTCTGTTAGCCTGCAATACCGGATACTGGCCTGTGCCTCTGAAAAGGGATTTGTTAGGGTCATTGTTGGCCTGGCTGAACAGCTGAGATGTTTTGCTCCACTGCATGGTGATGAGGATTGAGATGATAGCAGGAAGGAATCAACTCTATCACTGTTGTAGGTTTTTGAGAGCTGAGTCCATCAAGATTGTTTTCCCTCTTAACATAAATTGCTTCCTTCACACCCCTTTCAAACCAATTGTCTTCTTTGCCCAAAATGTGATCATTCTGGTCCTCAAACTAATGTCCTTTGTCCATAAAGTGTAAGTGGACAGCTGAGTCTTGTCCGGAGGAGATGGAAACCTTGAAACATTGAAGTGTATAGGAAATCCACTCACACAGACCAATATCTTCTTTTTGACTCTGACCACCCACTGGATTACAAACCTTCTGTCATCAGAACCTTACAACACCGGGCCAAGCATGTCCCTACAAAAACAGAAGGGAAGCATAAAGAACAGAAGCCCATCACAGATGCTTTCCAAACCTGTGGAAACCCAAAAGGGCGTTTGTAAAATCAACGAGGACATCCAAAAGACATGCAGCAGAACATAACGGTGAGAAGATTAAATGCAAAAACATCGCCATCCCATATGTTGCTGGAGTCTCTGAAAAACTGAAGAGGATTTTCTCTAAACACAAAATCCCAGTACATTTCCAACCAAACAAGACCCTTAGACGGAGGCTAGTGCATCCTAAGGACAAAACCCTAGACCTAAGCACGTAGAGGTGTGTGCAGTGAGGAATGCTCTGATCTTTATATTGAAGAGACCAAACCTCTCCACAGACGCATGGGTGAACACAGAAGGGCTACCTCCTCCAGAGATTTGGCCGTTCATCTATTCCTTATGGACAACGGACATTCGTTTGAGGACCACAATGTTGACATTTAGGACAAAGAATACAGGTTGTTTGAAAAGGGTGTGAAGGAAGCACTTATTTTTAAGAGAGAAAAACCAACCTTAAACAGAGGGGGTGGACTCTCAAAAACCTACAACAGTGATAGAGTTGATTGCTTCCCGTTATCATCTCAATCCTTATCGCCATGCAGGGGACCAAAACATCTCGCCTGTTCACCCAGGCCAATAATGACCCTAATGACTCCCTTTTCAGGGTGCTTCCAGCCAAAGTGGTCCTGGGTCAGAAAAATAAAATTTTGAATTTTGCCCATGGGATACATTTTTATTGGTACCATAATTCACAATACCAGAAGTGTCTGTAACTGCATTGGTCTTGTACAATTCAAACTTTTCCCATCACAAAAAGTAACTACTGGCACCTGCTGATACATGCTGATACCTGAAGCATCTCAAAAATCTTGCCAAGGGTTTTGTTTTGACACAAATTCTTAAATTTCAGCTGCAGATGTATGGATGACTGTAACCCCGGGCATAGCACCAACTGCAACCTGATAGAAATCTTCTGAATACTGAACCCTATTACTTACAAGTGATTTAGCAGAACCTCCATCCCGTCAACTACACCTCTATATATTCCGTTGGAAGTCCTGCCAGTTGTATGTGGACATATACTTCCTTATTCAATAGCAACTGGTTTCAGAACAGAAATTGGTCTAAACATGAATGGCTTCATCATTCCTTTACAGAAGAAGCCTCAGAAGCCCTGTCGTTTGTGTCAGGAAACTCTTCCTTACTCAAAAAGAACATGGCTTCAGGAGCTAAACTGGTCTTTGTAGGAATGGCTTCTTGCAGTTTCCTTGGTATTAGTGGCTTAATACCTGAACCCATTTAAAAAAAAAAGGGGCTACTAAAACAACACTCTATTTTGAGGAAAAATATTTATTTTCAAGTAAACAAAATCAATCTGCATTCATAGCATGCACCAGAAACAGAATTTTTTAAACACAGTTCAGACGCGTAACGCACGTAACATTTTTTCGAACGCACATAACATCAGAATTTCCCATCAAAAGATTTCAGTGTTTCCTAAAGCCCCAAAAATAACTATGACAACTTGATGTACTAGGTATTCAAACTATAATCAAGAGAAATGCACTCATTTGCACACTTCACAGAGTTTGGAGGATTTGAAAAATTTGACATGTTGTTATTCTCTGAATGTAACGTAAGTAACGCTGAAAATGAGGCTGTAGTAAAAAAGCTGGTGAAGGGATGGATAGTGTGCTAAGTTTCCATGAAAGAATACTCATCCAGGATCACAAAAAATCTTTAAACACAATGGAAAGTCCAAGAAATAAAAAAATGATAGTCCTATTTATCACCAAAATCTGTGTCTGAACTGTAAGGTATGTAACGCGGATCGGCCCTTCAGAGGCATAGGCCAGTATCGGGTATTGCAGGCTAACAAAGAACTCAATGACTCCCCATTACTAAGGGATGGACCTGTTCTTTCGGTTTGATATGCATGTTTTCTAAGCCATAACGAGGCTTTATTATGCTACCCTATAAACCTTGGAGCTCAACGCTAAACCAGTAATTTTAAAGTGAAAAAGCTTCCTGGATAGGAAGCGAAAGGTCTTCAAACTTGGAAAGCAAGGTCCAGTGTTTGGTTGTTTTTTTTTAAACTCTTTTTAACTTTTTTTTTTTTTTTTCAAATTCATAGACTGTAGCTATGTAAACTTAAATGACCGTTTACTCTCTCATCCCCTCCATCAGGTATTATCCAAGCATTAAAGGATTACTACCAAGCTGAATGCAGGGACTGTGTCCATGTGTGGCTGAGTGCTGACACTGACCATTATAGCTCTTCTGCTGGTGACACAGGCTGGGGCTGTGGATACAGAAACTTCCAGATGCTCCTTTCTTCCCTTCACAGAATAGAAACGTATTCTTCAGCTCTGCAAGGTGAACCACACTATAGCTTCTGTCTATCCTAAAAAAGATGCAAAAATGTCCATGCCTCTCCTGTTTTTTGAGGTGCATGATCTCAAATAGGATCTGCAGTAAACATTATTGGGATTTTATGTAAGACGTAAAAACAAAGTATTGCATATCTTGATAATCTGGTTTGTATTTCTATGAATTTGTTGTTTTTGTTGTTTTACCTTTTCTAATTCTAAATGAATTCCACAAGAAACTAGTTTTCCTCTAAATTCCTCTCATTGTTAAACCTCTTATGGTTGATGTAATCTAAGTGGGATTACAACTTTTCTGTGAAGGATTTAGAGATTTTTGGGGGGAATATTAGTAAACAAAAGGCACCATGAAGAGTATATAATCAGATAACACAGGCTAATCAATGACAAAAAGATATTAAGAGAATAGTAAGATTAAAAATACCATATCTAAGCTTATCAGCACTATTGCAATAGAAAGGAGCAGGAATGCCAAAATCCAGTACTTGAGCTGGAATTTAGACATGTAAGTCAGTGTTAGGGTTTGACTTTACTATTAAACTGTCTGTGATACTCAAACCATCTTATTAGGCATGTCCTGATCCAATATTCATATCAGATATCGATCCGTTATTGGCTAAAAATACTAATATAAAATTTTATCGGCCGAAATCTCTAATATCCTCATGCTGATAGAAACACTCTGCTTTTGCTTAGTTTCTGTAACTTTACATGTGTCACTTGTTTTCATACCTGATCAAGACTTTTCTAACATTCAACAGCGTAAAATAAGTAATAAAAGCCAGTGCGGTTCATGCTAACATCATATTTGGTCAATATGTATGTATGTACTATGTATGTGTATATATATATGTATATTTGTGTGTGTGTGTGTGTGTGTGTGTGTATGTGTATATATATGTGTATATATGTATATGTATGATGGATGGAAGGGGTAAATATCCCCACTTTTGCATTTTAGTAACATAAGACACCAATTGTATTAAAATATGAAATGTAACAAGTTATAGCAGATATAACAGATAATAACCGGAGGAAGATTAGTGGGAGTGTGAAAACAAAGATCGATTCAGCAAGAAACCCAGTTAAGACAACGGCCATCCTCTACTCTATAACCTCAGCTCTGCCACATTTGCAACATCAGTTAGCCGTTTAGATTCAATATGCATCTAATTACCTGATAAAAAAAGAGCATAAAGTATTTAAATAAAATATACCACATTAACCAGAGATGCTGATTAGTTATGAACTAAATTAATCGTTCTGTCTTTGTGCAGGAAGTCTTACTATCTCAATTTAGTATCAGCCATTGAGGCAAATCTTTGAACAACATCTAAAATGCAGATTGTCACTAGCTTAACTTAGCTGTAAACGTTTTGCTCTAACTGACCAGTCAGAGGAAAGAAAATGCTGGTGTAGGCATCGACCCCCTAGCTGGCCCTGTGCGGGAAATCTGAAATCTGATTGGTTGTAGAAAACATTCCTCACTAATGTTAAGGTAACATCAGCCAGCACTGCTGATTTTGAAGACCCTAAGCAGATTTGATTGGTATAGCAACCCACTAAGGCTGAAATCTGACTGGACAAAAAATATAGCTACCACATAAATGTAAGGGAAGCAGCGCAGCTAAGAGAAGTGCTACAAATTTAAGAGAACAGATTGTTTGGAATAAATTAGTACAGTTGGATAGAATAAAATGTAAGTTCAGGTTGTGAATGTATGTTAGTGTTCCTGATAGATTTAAGGGCAGCAGTGAAGGTCTTGAAGTCCCTGACGGCCCTCCACTGATTGGTATTGGCCAATTGTCGAAGCTGCAATATCGGTATCAGAAATGAAAACATGGTATTGGTAAACTCCTACGTCTTAGTGTTATTGTGGCATTGCTTCCTGTTGGCACCTGTGTTAATTACAGGCTTTGCTTCTCGATCAGAAAAGACGGTGCCTTGTATCCCTCGGGTGCAGAGGATGATCCAGGAAGCTTGGAAGGAAGGGCTTGATCCCCAGGGGGCATCACACTTCAATCATCAGTTGGAGAGAACAGAGGCCTGGATTGGAGCCACAGAGATATACGTCCTCCTCACATCGCTCGGATTGAGGTTGGTAAGCTCCTCTGTTTTTGTTGTTTTTTAAAGTAATGTCTTGCATAGTTGGACATTCTTTTAAAATGATTTCCTATTGAGCTTTACACAGTTCCAGATTGACAGAAATGGAAAAAACTGTTCTTATTGCCAACGAGGGATTGCAAATAAAACTTAGGAATAGAATAGAACTTAATTGAGCTCACAATGGAGAAAATCACTTGTGACATCACCTCTACATCGTCTATACAGTACAGCCAGATATATACAGTGGATGGTAAAAAATAAAGGAGATTGAAGTTGACTTATATATACAGTATCTTATGTACAATAGAGTGGTGGCGAGTAAAGTACGGTTTCTTTTTTTTAAATAGATAAATAGTTATTACAGTGTTCTTGCACCAGGTTATATTGCAGTGGCATTGTAAAGTCTGCTGGCAGCAGTGACGAATGACCCATGGTAGTGCTCCTTTTTACACATGGGATATATAAGTCTGTTACTAACCTTAGAGCTGCCTACAGCTGCTTAGTCTCTAAGATAGATAGATAGATAGATAGATAGATAGATAGATAGATAGATGTACTTTATTTATCCCAAGCTGGGAAATTGCAGTGTAGCAGCAGCTTAAGGTGGCCAGTGCAGGCTCTGAACCTAGCCTGACTGAACATTGTTGGACTGAAGGGGTCCTTCATTTGAGGGGCTCAATAATGCTGCCTGTCCTTTAGCCACAAACATTTTGAACACCTCACTGAGCACACTTGCGCCACTTCTCCTGTTAATACGGTAAAGCCCTCCGGAGCGTCCGGCACCAGGCTGCAGGTGATACAAATTAGCCAATGAGCCGTCAGTCTGGGCTGCTGCTGCTGCTGCTACTTTTAGACACAGCAGGCAAACCTTTGGCAAGCCGGGCGATGGGAAAGAAGGAGAAGACGATGAGAAAAAGAGAGCAGAGAAAGTGTGGACTGCTGGAAGAACTGCGGTGAACTGGTGAAAGAAAAGTAAAATAGTGTGCTCAAAGGTGACCCTGCACATTTAGAGGATGTTTGGCTCAACCTGCTGCTGTGAAACAGCAACAAAGATTTTCAATTGGATTTAGATCAGGACTCATTGCTGGCCATTTTAAGACGGTCCATTTTTTCCCCTTTCAACCATGCCTGCATGCTTTTGGAGGTGTGCTTTGGGTCATTATCTTGCTGACCCAGGATCTTCGCCTCAAACCAAGTTTTTTTTTAAACTGGGCAAGACATTTCGCTCTAGAATTTCTTGATAATTTCCTCATTTCATGAGGCCTGTGATATGGTCAAGGCCTTCAGTACCAGATGCAACAAAGCAGCCCCACAGCATTATGGATCCTCCACCATGCTTGATTGTTGGTATAGTGTTCTTTTCTTTAAAGGCTTCATTGCGCTGTCTGTAAACATACTGTTGGTGTAAATTACCAAAAAGCTCCACTTTTGTTTCATTTGTCCATTAAATGTCGTCCCAGAAGGCTTGAGGTTTGTCGAGGTTCTCTTTTTCGAAGACCAGTCGTGTTTTTTTTTTTTTGTCTTTTCTTTAGCAATGGGGTCTTCCTTGGCTTTCGCCCATAAAGCCCCACTTTGTTTAGTGTGCAGCGTATGGTACCTGCTGAAACAATCATACCAGCCTGCTCCAGGTTGGTCTTCAGGTCTTTAGAGGTTTGACGTGGTGTTTTTCCTACCATTCACTCGAACCGTCGAAGACTTATGTCATCAATTTTTCTCTTCCCCCCACATCCAGGGAGGTTCTTGACAGTCCCATGCCTGGAAAACCTCTTAATAACATGACCTACTGTTGAAACAGGGATATCAAGGTCTTTGGAGATGGCTTTATACCCTTTGAGTTGGAGTGCCTTTGGAGTGTCTTTGCCATTGTCACATGTGAAGATGGACTAACAGATGCCTTTTAAAGCACCAACATTATAATTTATTGGTTAATTCATGTCATATCATGTGTGGAGGCAGTTCATCACAAGTGATCTTCATTTGTGATTTGCAACAGGTGAGCCGAATTGTGTTTTGATACTGATTTGCAGCAAAAAGTGCCAATACCATGGACATGGTGAACATGTTTTTCTTTGTTTTCCTCATAATAATTATCTTTTTTAATGTTTTTTTTATCATTTGCTGTTTTGCATAAAGCACAATCTATCTGCAGTAAAATGTTTTTTACTTGATTTATTTCCTTCAGGAAACATTCCATTATATCTTCTTAAACTTCAGGGGTGCCAATAATGGTGAGCAGGACTGTATCGATCCAGGCTCACGAATGAGCACCTTGACTTGTGGTTGAGAATGGCTTTGTCGCCTATCAAACCCGGTTTAAAAGCCTCGCAGAGCAGCCTAAAGCCCACTTTCTCTCATTAAGCCATCATCTTTCTTTATTGCAGGTGATTTGGTTCTGTTTGCATCTACAGCCCATGAGCCTGAGTGTCCACTGGGGTTGAAAGGGCCTGCTTAAATAAAATTCTTAGTCCAAATCCACAAATTTTGGCCAGAAAAATAGAAATTGCTCTCTCTGGTTTAGAGGTCAGTCTTGCCACAGCCTGAGGGGCTTAGGAATCCTGATGTTGGGTGTGCAGGTGGCTCAGTGCTTGTCGCTCCCCCTCTCTCATACCCCCTTTCCAGTCAGCCTACTGTTGAAAAAAAGAGACACTAGTGTCTTAATACTCAAAAAAGCTCAAAAAAAAAAAAAGAATCCTGATTTCTCGAGCTCCAGTCATGTTATAATACCTTGTAGTAAAGAATGAGCTGAGCTAAAAATAAGGCAGTTGATTAATTTATCTGTCTACATTATAACCAGTCTGTATGGAACGTTACCTAAAGAAATGCTCAATACATGATGTTGAAACAAGCCTCCTCTGTAGAGTGATTCCAGTTCAGTTTGTTTATAAAGCAGATAGACAATCCAATCGGATCATACTGTCAGAAAAATGTTTCTCCTTATATAGAAACCTTTTACCAAACTAAGGTAAGGTTTCTCTACATTTAGAGAAAGCTCATGCTACATTCACACCGAATGCGCGATTCTCAAGCAGCAGATACTTGAGTTGGAAAAATGTAACAATTGCTGCTTGATGCGCCACTTTAACCAATCATAAGAAAAAAGCTGATCTGGGAGATGGCTGGGAGAGAGACAGCGCTGCTGATTCAGAACACTATCATCACTTCCCTGAAACAGTTTATTCAAGCCTAAATTTACCTAAAATGTCGAAACCTGCCGGCAAAATATGTTTGCTTTATTATCCGGGCCTGAGGCAGTTTCTGCTGGAATCCCGGTGAGGGTGCACCGCTGGTATGTGGGGGTCTGGGCAGCTCTGAGGGCAAATTAATGTTTTAAGGCAGGATCATAATATTGATGAACTGACTACACAGACAGGTGGACTTTCTCACTTAAAAATATATTAAAACTATTTTTTACCCACTGATCACAATACCTCTCTCTGCCATTGCATACAGGAGCGCAACAAGCATCAGAAACATGTGAACACCCTTTACTGGGGGCGCTTCAGGACCATCTTCTTGATGCACGTCTGACCTTAATGTGTACAAGCATCAAAAATGAAGCAGCAGATGCTTTTTTCCTTCTCAAAGCGCGTTGGGTGTTAACGTAGCATCAGAGTATAGGAAGATCAACTTCTAAACTTAAAGAAGAAACTTGAAAAGAGTCGGCTGAGGTGGTTCAATATTGGTTCAGAAAAACTGTTGGTCAAGCCAGAAGTCAATGGAGGAAAGAAAGGATGATGGGATGAGTTTTTAAAGGGGAAAGTTACAACTTTTTCTTTTTTCCTCAGCTGCAGCATTTCATTTTTAAACAGTAAAGTTTGGTTAAATCTAAGCATTGTTGGTTTTTCTGCAGGGGACGCATAATAGACTTCCACCAGCCAACCGGCAGCAGGAATACCCATCCTCAGTTGTTTGACTGGGTAAAGAAATACTTCTGTCCATCCAGTGTAAGCAACAGACTGTCCCCCCGACTCATCCTGACCAGCCTACCACCACTTTATCTGCAACACCAAGGTACAGGATGTATGGCAGTATAGGAGTGACTGATGACCTGATTGAGCCTTTCCTTAGTCCAAGTTATCTGTTAAATCTGTTATTTCCTGGTGCCTGTTGCAGGCATGTTTTTTTTAAACACTTCAACCTTCCAGTTATAGATTTATCTATAAAACAAAGACTATTCTGGTCATTAATGACGGTTGATTTGGCTCAGCTGGGTTTTTATTGTACCCACCGATTGCTTTCATTGTAAACTTTGTCATAAAGCATCAACCTAGAAATGTGCGCTGGTTTCATTCTATGTAGAAGCCAATATCTGAGGCACAAGCTTCCATGTAAAAGATCCTCTAATACCCCTTTCCCACTGGCCCGACAGCCTGTTTAAAACCGGCAACAATCTACTTTTTGTGGCAGTGTGAACAGCTCACTGACGCGTTTCTACCCGGATCAACCGACCTGTTTAAAATCTCCTTATCTCTGATCGGTATGCTGTGGCATCGACAGCGGGTTGACCCGCTTAATTACGTGATACCATTGAACACAAGATACAGACATCAACGCATTGCGCTTCTGGTCTATCAAGCCGAAACAACTCACTACACCCTGCCTTCCTTATATGTAAATGGTTAATGGCCTGTACATGTATAGAGATTTTTCAAGTCAGATGACTTCACCAAAGCGTTTTACACAACATTCTGTCATCCACCCATTCCCGCACACACTCACACATAGGTGGTGGAAAACTACATTGTCGCCACAGCTGACCTGGGGCCCACTGACAGAAGCAAGGCTGCCATACACTGGCGCCACCAGGCCCTCGGACCACCATCAGTACACAACGAACCGTCAA